CTAATTGTATCATTTGCCGGTAAAATCACATAGTTTCATTTCTTTTCACATTTTTTCTATGTTGAATTGATAGCATTACATTAGGTGAAATCACCTACTTATTTGATTGCCACCAATATTTAAATGTTGGCAAAATGGTTAGTTTATATCTGTGTTTCTGTTTCTTCACTGCATCATTTCTGCAATATAAATTTATTACATTGAAGTACTGTATCCTCTATTGTCTGATGGTATTTTTACAGGTGCTGAGTTTTGATCGATTTTCATGGACCAAGGCTTCATCAAAGCTTTACCTTTCACCCACTAGTCTACCGCTAAAGATTCCAGCATGCAAAGGTCACACCTTGGTATAAAAACAATTCTCAGGATCACTACCGTACAATTTTCATTGAGACATTGGTTGCAGCATGAACTAAAATCTATATATTTGTGTTAAGATAATGTGAAGTTTGTTGCTAATTCTTCTTTTTTACCATGAGAGATTACAAATTTGAGTAGAACTATTGGTGTATAGCTTTGACTTTGACTTGAGCGAGTGTTACTGAGGTGGTTAAATTGATTAGCTGATGATTAGAACTCCATGATTTTTTTAAAGATGCTATGCATTTCTCTTTCTGGTAGCTTTATGTGGCAAGATACATCAGTTAATCTGATATGTGGTTTTCTAGGTACCTTGGGGGAAGAAGGTACTTCTAATTGGAGGCAAAACTGAACCTGTTAGTGTCAGAGTGTCAGGTTGTACTTTTTCTTTTCAATGACTGTATCTGCTCTACACGATCTCGCAATTTTAGACTATATTCACGATTTCTGTTCCATTTTATTTTTGTCATTCAGTATGGGCATTTGACATGGAAGCAGAATGTTGGTCATTAATTGAAGCAAAGGGAGACATTCCGGTAATTTTCCTTTACAATGATGGGGTATATCAGTCGGCCCATACTTTGCATTAAACTGAAAATGTGTATCTGAAGCCAGAATGCGGCAGTAAATTTCAGTGACATTTGGTATCTAGGCTTGTGATAAAATATCAGTTTAATAAATTGAAATATTTGACTGAAATTTTCTTCATATTTGGAGTTGTCAAATGCCTTTGCTGTTACTTCATTGATCTTTCAAAAGATGCGAAGGAAAAGCTTGTTTTTATGTAATAGTGAAATATTTATAAATGTATATTTTTTCGGTTTTTGTTTTTTGAGACTTCCAAGTTGTATTTAATTTGTAGCAAATCTACCTTTTCCTTTTTTGAAGCTTGTCTACGAAATGATTGTCGGGAAAAGGCATTTCTTGAAATGTGTGGTACTGACTAGGATAATAAACTGCAGGTTGCGCGTAGTGGTCATACAGTGGTTAGAGCAAACTCTGCTCTTATTCTCTTTGGAGGTGAAGATTCTAGGAGGAGGAAACTCAATGATCTGCATATGTTTGATCTGAAATCTCTAATGTGGCTTCCTCTTCATTGCACGTATGCTTTTATTAGTATTGCCGTTTGATTGTTTCATAAGCTTACTGTGGCAGTGGCCAATAAGTATTCCCTTATTTTAGCTCGCCAAGTATTTTAGCTAATGTCTATGCCTTTATCCTGAAAAACGTTTTTGCATGTGCAGGGGACCAAAACCCTCGGCAAGATCAAACCACATTGCTGCTCTTTATAATGACAAAATGCTTCTCGTTTTTGGTGGGGCGTCTAAGTCAAGAACTCTGAATGATATGTACTCACTTGACTTTGAGGCGGTCTGTAAACTATCTATCTTTCTCTCACAAATTATCTAAATTTGTCGAATTTGTTGTATATTAACCTAGGCAATGTGCACTTATATAATTAATTCCTAAGCGTTCGCTTCAGATGGTATGGTCAAGAATTAAAACACGAGGTTTCCATCCGTCCCCTAGAGCCGGTTGTTGTGGAGCACTTTGTGGAACTAAGTGGTATATCACGGGTGGTGGTAGCAAGAAAAAACGTAATCCCGAGTCTCAACTTTTGGATCTGTCTGAAGATCTTCTTGTCAATTCAATTGTTATCTAGTTCTTCTCTCTTTTAATATTTTTTAGATGTTTGATAATAAATTTTGTTATCAGCAAGAGGTGAGAATCTTGCTAACTCTCATTGCTGCCTGTACTTTTAACTTTTTCCCTTTCACAGGGCCTGCAGAGACCTTAATTTTTGATGTGCTGAAATTTGAATGGTCAATTGCCGTTGCTTCACCTCCCTCTTCCATCACTACCAGCAAGGTCTTTATACTATGCTCTCGTAAATGCGTACAAACTCTTAGTCTAAAGATGCGAGTATAGTTTTGTCATTTACTTAAGCAATAGCCTTTTGCGGCAAGTGTAAAGCTATTTTTAATTATGTTGATGTGTGTGTAATCCAGTTAGTGAAGCCCCATGGTTTCACAATGATACCTTAAGAGACAGCAAACCAAAAACTGACCTTATGAATCTAACTGAGCTGCATTTGCCAACCTCCAAGCTGTTGCGTGTAAAGGATCTTTTTGTGAGGGTCTAGTGCATTCCATCATAATAGTACAATCAGCAATACTGGCCATGAATGATTTATAAGTGCATCCCAGCAGAACTTCCTTCAAATTTTGATATTCAAACAGTTATTTCACAAATGTACTTGATTGAATCAAATCATTTGGATCCATCGTTGTCTCTATTATCATACTTTGTTCTATTGGCAGAGTAAGTAAACCATATTTTCGTACTTCTTTGGGCCGCAGGGTTTTAGCCTTGTTCTTGTGCAGCATAAGGAAAGAGATTTTCTTGTTGCATTTGGTGGTACCAAGAAAGATCCGTCCAACCAGGTTAATTTCCTGTCAATTTTTTTTTCTTTCTTTCTCATTTATTTTGGTATGTGTGTATGCGAACCGTCTATTGGTTTTTGGATTCATATGAAGTTCTTTAACAGGTAGAGGTACTTATCATGGAAAAAGTTGAATCATCCATAGTACGGAGATCAACTTTGAGCAAAGTTGCTGGAACATTGTTGTCCTCTCAGCAAGGGAATGCTTCTCTCGGTGGTCATTTTGATTCTGTGTCCAGGCAAAATTTAGCATCCGCAATTGAACAACATGGATCTGGTAGAAGATCTTTGTCAGAGTCTTTACTTGTTGACCCAAACTCCGGTCCCAGTAATGTCTCCCTCCGCAAACAACTCTACAATGAGGAGACTCCTGATGTGAACACCACAAAGAGCTCAGAGGATAAAAGTTCTTTCAGGGTAAAAACTATTGCCGTCGATTTACACCAGTTGAATTTTCTTATAGTTTTTTTTTTCTCTAGGATTTTTCAAGTTGGAATTTATGACCGATCATTATCATTCGTGCTTTCTTCGGGAAGATTGAAGTTCTTTCGTAGGGATGATTACAACAACTATTGTTGGTCTTTGTAAATCTACTAATCTAGTAAAATGCATGTTGATATGTTATATGCCAAATGAAAAAATCTGTACAAACTTTGTTCAGCTTTGACTAGATATTACAATGCCGGTGTATCAGCAACTTTGTCCCGTATATTTTTTTTAATTGACATTAATTTCAATACCATGGTATAATTTTCAGGTAATTGACCAAAACACAAAGCCTCCCGATTCTGTTGTTGATGCAAGCCATACTGATGATGGAAATGCAGACGAAACACCAAGCACAGCTGAATCTGACAAATCAAACCTCGACAAGCAAGGAAGTGAAAGCCCACAGTTAGAAGGTGAAAACCCCGCATTCCAAGAAATCGATGGTAAATTGAGAATGATAATGCCTTCAGGTGCCTATCAGATATACGAAGCCAAGTTAGCCAGTCTCTTACGGAAGAATGGCATCCTGGAAGGCCAGCTGGCGTCTGCATTATCTGCTCGTGAATCAGCAGAAAAGAACTTGTCGTCTGCTGTTAGAAGCAGACAGGAAATGGAGCAGAAATTGGGGGACAGCTTGAAGGAAATAGATTTGCTCAAAGAGAAGCTGACAAGTGTTGAGCTGGCACAGGAAGAGGCCAATAGCCTCTCGAATATCGTCCACTCGGACAATGTGAGGCTCGAGCATGACGTGGCTTTCCTCAAGGCTATTCTTGACGACACGCAAAAGGTCTTGGACTCTCTTCGTCCCTTCTTTATGCTGTGATTTTTTTTTATTTTTTATTTTTTTTTTAAGTTAATTTGAGGTTGAATGGTGTATATTTGCAGGAGCTTCATTCGACCAGGGGAGTTCTGGCTGGTGAGCGTGCACGAGCATTCCAACTACAGGTATATTCGTTTTTAGTTATCAG